AGGGAGGGAGGGAGGAACTGAATCTTTTAAGGTGTACAAAATATTTACGACTTAGGTCTTTACTAACACCAGCTAATTCATCCTCACACCCTTATCAGAAAGATCATGTTATTATTTGTCATATTTTAACATATGGAAATGCAAATATGTAAGTGATGTGATCTGTTCAAGACAAAACAGTGAGAAGAAGCCACCAGTGGTATTAAAATTCAGTTCCTGGTTCTTCTGCTTTAACAGTGATATTTTCCTTCCAAATTGTTTTATGTTGGTTTTATAAAGATACCCACTGATTAACCAGTACATGGTTAATCACATGCTTTCCTAACTCACCTCCCCAAAACAAAGAAAAATGTGTAACAACCTCCAGACAAGTCGTTTCATTTCTAAAGGAGGTTCAGTACAGATAGTTATTTCTTAAATGTAAACAAAGCCTTTTTGATATTTACAGAAAAATACACCTTGAATAAAGAAAAGAGTGAAACAATGTGGAAAGTGTGACCACAATAAATATAAGAACCAAAGAAGAAGGAACAAACCTCATGTAACATGAAGAGTCTCTTTCTCAAAGCTGGTGTAATTCTTGTAAAAATATTTAGACTGACAGGTTTGGAAACTGAAGGGACGGCCACAGGTTTGTGATGGCATAATCAGCTGCATGCTTATCTTGTCAAACCAGTACAGCCATGCCCTGTGATGGATACACGAGCTGTTTGGTTGTTATGCTTACTGCAGTCTGGTTCACTGCTGAGATCTTCCAGAAATGTACCTTCTGTCAATAAAACCAAACTTCTATCATACAGTGTCTTAAAGGATTTTTCAGATAACTTCAGATGATACAAGTTTCACCACAGGAACAATTCTGATAAATACAGACTCTCATAGAGATGCTTGGTAAGTAGGAAGGAGGGAGATGCCATTCAATTCAATTTAAGTGTATGTGCCATTATAAAACAAAGACTGTTCTGACATTAGTATCACTAGCACCAAAGAAACCACTTAATTCACCTAGAAATAACTGTGAAATAATATTCTGTCCACAAAATGCTGATTATATTTCCTACATGGCTTAAGCAAAGTCTGGATGAAGTTTAGGATGTCATTAAAGTAGGACTACAGAGCTTCTGCAAACAGCTTTTGGATGTTTATCCCTGCTTCTTTACTTTTTAGTGTTTAATTTTTTGTACTAAGCAGTTCGGGTTTTTTTCTATGTAATTAATCTGCTGAATTTGTCTACTAATGATGTTTAAGTTTCCATAAAGTTGGCCAAAACCATTTGACCTCTACCAAAACAGAGTGAAGTGAGAATGCAGAACACTGATTCATTCAGTGAGCAATTATTTGTACACCTCAAATCTGTTTTTCATTAAAAATTGTATGTATTTTTACCATACATACTACAAAACAGTGGGGTTTTCTTTCTGGAGATATAATTAAATTTTTGTTATATTTTTAGACATTCTGTTTTGTTTGCTCCTAGTAGATTGGGAGGAGGGATGCAAGTGCAGTACAGATAACACTACAAAGTTCCATGTGTTTTAGAAGAATGCACCTTTACTGTTCTGATTTTCTCTTCTCACAAACACTTGCACAACATCAAACAAAGTGAAGCAGATCTCTCCACTAAATTTAACAAGGCAAAGTATTTGAGACTTTGAGGAAAAATAATAAAGATGAAAGAAAAAAAGTCAGTGAAACTGATTAGCTTTTTGATATAAAGGTTGTTTTGTTTTGTTTTGTTTTTTGTTACACCAGAAGGTAAATTTTTCTTACAGTTTCTGTGGGATCTACAAATGTTTTCAGGGCTTCACTGGTGTACAGAATCAAATAATGATCAGAGGCTTGTAACCCATAGGAACGTAGTGAGAATTCATTTAGAAATATTTTTCTTTTATTTTCTATAACTGGAAATATTGATTTATTAGCTATTGAATCCTACCTTTGGAAATAAGAATACTGAAATGCATAAGGAGTATTAAAAAAAAAGGAAATCTTATATTAAGATTTTCCTCTAGAAACATAACAAGAATTAAGTACTCAAGTGGACATAAAGGTAAGAATAATCAAAATGCACAGCAAATAAAAACAACAACAAACTGAAACAATGGAGCATTTCTGATTCTTGGCTAAGAAGAACCATGTTCTGGGTCAGTAAATACAGAAAAGGAACACATTCTCACTGAAGGAATATTTTATTGTATGCTGAAATATCCCTTGGGTTTTCATTTGTTTGTTTGCTTTTGCTTTTGCTTTTGTTATTGTAAAGAAAAGAGTCTACAACATACTCTAATGGTTTTGGCTGTAGACTGAACTTAAGTAAATACCATCATTCAGTTCAGTATGTTGTGGTAACTCAGGCTGCCAGTGTGGTTCACCAGCTCAAGCAACACATGTAAACACTGGAAACAAAAAAGATTCAGAGGACACCCTCTCTTTCTCAGCTGCTTGCTCCTTCTCCCTCTCCTGTTCATGCTTGCTCTCTTGCTCACTATCTTTCTTGGACTTCCATTATTTTCTGAAAAACCATGTGGGTGAAACACAAAACATTAATATTAACATAACTAGAGATCCTTTTTTTCTGGCCTCTAATTTTATCCAAAGGGAATGCTACCCAATAAAAAGTCCAGCATATGTTTTCAGAGCTTCTAAGTGCTTCTGCTATTAATTTCCTTTGATTGCTTCTATAAAACATGCCTTAATCATTCTACAGCACTTTCCATTGCAAAAAAGACAACTTTACAGAACAACATAGGTAACATTATTTCCCTGTTCCTTTTTTTTTTTTTTTTTTTTTTTTTTAAAACACCACAAAAAGTCCAGGCCATAGTAAGAAGCACACAAAATTATATTCATCTTTGTTCCATGACAAGTAGTATCAGCATTTATATCCCCAAATATTATGCATGTTTGACAAAAAAAAAAAAAAAAAAAGTTTCCACTGATTCACATGACACAACTCTGGTTGTTTGTTTTTTTCTTTCAAATAATGTAGTATATAAGGAATAAAGATGCACTATTGTTTCTAGTAATAATTGGCACTTGAAAAAAGCACCAGAAATTCTGTATTTCACTTTACCCCTTTTCCCTCCCCAGTATTTTTTTTTCTGTAGTCCAAAATCTACAGCTGTGGTTATGGTGAATAACTACATTTTCTTTTTTCAAAACGTGTGCAAAGTTGGCACTTTTGTATTAACACTAAACACTAATACTCTTTGTTTGGCATTCATGCCCTCATACTGACCAGACCACTTTTATCTAAGTGTATTTTTTTAAAGACACTTACTGAAAATATGGCAATAGTTTAAGAAAAAAAAAAAGCATGGATATTATTACACATCCCCTTGTAGTGTACGAAAAAGTGCATGACTGGAATTATGTAATAGTACAAGACAAAAAAACTGTATCAGATCAGGTGCTGTAAAGCATGCCAGCACCTCTTTATTACTTATATCTAGCAGGTAGTTAAAACAAGACCGTGGTTCTTTTAAAAATGTGCATTAAAGCTAACATAAATGAGTAGAACTAGCCAGCAAACTATTTTTCCTGCTTATCTAACAGCTGAATGTAACTGTAAAAATTAAGCAAAAAAATAAGAGTTAAACCACCATCAATACAATTGTTTTACATCATAGGCCTGTAAAGGCTCAATATATATATACAAGTGTAACAGCCATGCGTAGTAGAACGTTATCCCCAATGCTTAGAAGACACAAAGACAACTAAGTAGATTGATAGTTTTTTTTTTCTCTTTTTGTTTGTTTGCAATTTTTTTGTTTTGTTTTGTTTTTGTTCTTTTTCTTTCAGCTAAAAGTCGTGGGTAGAACAAATTGTCTCTTTGGAGATAACCAAGAACATTCTAACAGAAGTAGGGACAACTGCAAGTTTTCTGTAGGGTTTTTGTTGTGGTTTTTTTTTTGTTGTTTGTTTGTTTTTGTTCATGAAGGGTCTCTCCCCCCAAATTAAAAATCCCACATTTTTGTGTCTATTAAAAAAAAAAAAATTTTTAAAAAAGGAAACAACTTAAACCAACAAAGGGGAAAAAGCACCTGGTGATTCTTTCTTTTGTTAAAAAAGAAAAGAAAAAAGATTATATATATAGTCAGACACCCCAGAATGTTGCCCCTCGTTCTACACGTGTGTGTCCATCACCAGTTTAGGTCACCATGGCTCAAGCTGGGAATGATTCCCAACAGAGAAACAGCAGATCTAGAGCCCTGCTGAAGGGAACCCTTACTTTCAACTTCACAACATTTGGTACCATTTCATCCTGTTTCTCCTCGTTCTCCAGGCCTTCTCTGTGATATCCAGCTCCTCCTACATTTCATGGAGGTTCCTCAGCTCGTTCTCCATCATCAGCCTTCATCAGCACTTCATTTCCACCTTGGGGGCCAAAATTGTTATTAGAAACCTTAAACAAATCAATTTTAAGACGAACCCAGGAGAAACTCCCCTAATAGCTGGGCTCCCCCACCCAGTACAGTTCAATACCATTTCCCTCTTAGCCACTTCCTAGCTTTTGACATGGTTCCTTCATCAAACTCCATCTCCTCCCACTGGAATAACAAGGTTGCCCCGTGGCACTGCATCAGTTTCTCATTAAAATCTGAAGAAAGAAGATTTTTTTCACATGCCTATATTTTTTTTCCCTGCAAAACCTTATTTTATATATATATATATTTATATATATATATATAAAGGGAGACTGTATATGGCAGTTCAGATGTGGTGGGCCCTCTCTGAGAGCTGGCATTATGCTGTGTCCATCCTTGAACTAATCTACTGAAGTAAAGGGAATGTTTTTATGCAGATTGGGGTTCTGACTATGCCGGTTTCGGCTACGGACAGAGGAGAACATCATGTTGCACCCAGGGACTTTGCATTTGTGCATCTCTCGCAAGTGCACTGTTTTATAGTGAACTCTGAGGGTTCCCTTGTTGCTGTACATTTTGTGGCAAATGTTACACATTATCCCACCGTTGCTCACTGAAACACTGTTGAACATGAGGGATCCTGGGACATCGGTGCCCATACCTACAGCTAAGGCAGGGGCATCTGCTTTGTGGGCAGATTCCCCGCTGTCACTTGCCCCATCAACGTCGTCCAGGAGAATGCCCTCATCGCTTCCTGCATCAGATTCTCTTGAGGAATGGATACTACTGCTGGACTGGATGCTGGAGGTGGTGCTCAAGTCTAGGACCATATAGTCTTCCGACATGCCTCTGCTGTACCCATTCATATGGGAATCCTCAGTACCAGCAGGCGAGGAGGTGTCTTCCCTTATGTCAAGCCCCATCTGATGCTGTGCTCCATATATCTTCACCAAAAATTCATCACGAAGGTCCTTACTAAGAGAAGGCTGTGAGGTGTCCAGGCCCATGTCATCCAGTTCTTTGGTCAACAGTTTACGGTGCAGGTTTATGTTAGCACTGTGTCTGGGAAAGGAAGAGGGAAGGGAGAAAAGGAAAAATGTACAGTATTTTTGATTAAACATACAGTCATCAAGCACCAAATCTTGATTTATCAATAATTTATCATAAATATATCCCCTATCCATGTCTCTTGAAAAATTCAGTCTTGTTACAAGTGAACAAATTGCAACACAAAAAACAAAACAAGCAAATTAACCCCCACCCCGTATTGTTTTGCTTTTCAGCTACTGCTCCTCAACATTAGTTCCTAGCAGCAGCTATAGCCCTTTTATTTGATGCATTAGCACAAAATGCAAAATGCTCTTCTTAGCTCCTGAATCCCTGCTGGCTTTCCTAAAAGCCTGGCTTCAAGAGAAAACATAATTAATATATGGGATATCTGTGTGTGTTTGTATTTATGTTTATGTCTAGATCCATATCCTTATGTATTTATACATACATATATATAAATATATTTTTAATATATGTATGTACTCATATAAATGTGTATGTGAAATATAGGAGACAAAAATAAAGGCAACTGAATGACACATAGTCAGAGGCCCTGATTCTGATAAATTAATTCTGGTGCAAAGGGATTCAGAATTGGGCCAAACCAAGATGGAGAAGACTTGAAGCATTTAGGAAGACAAGTCTCTGAAATCTACGTGTAAGTTTCTGACAGTCTTAGCCTAAGTAACTGGTTCCATACTTCTAGCAAGGCACTGCTGCTCTCCCCTGTACTCTTCCCAGTACTGTGTCTGATGCACTGCTGACTGACCCAAAAAGTGCAATTTCCAGTAAAAACCTTACTCATGGCAATGAGAATTTTGCCCCAAATCATCCAAAACAGTTACACCTGGGCTTTTGTTTAGGTATGTGAAGAAGTCACTGGGGGTGCATCAGAGATGCTGGAAATGCTGTCACTGATGTCAGCGGTCTTTGGACCAGATCCTAAGAGCCATGGGTTAAAATATTCCTAAAGTGTTTTACAGGATCTGGGCCTGTGTTCTCAAGAAATAAAACTCTACATTTTCAAACAATGTAAGCCTTTGGGTTAGTAACTGTGTAATACAGCATATTATTTTAAATTCTGCATTCTACTCTCCACTTTTGACATTTGCTTTAATCATCCATTGCAGTAGAACCTCACTGATTTGCAGTAGTGTCAGGAAACTCTTTGAAAACGGCATTTTCTGAATTAACAATGCAACCAACAAACATGACAGACATCAAAGACCTCTGACCACAGAACATGCTCGTTTTATTGAAGTGCTTAATAATATGAAAGCAGTATAAAGTTTTCAGAATCAGAAAACTTTATGGTTCAGTATTCAGAATGTGCACCATTGCTGAGGAAACAACAAATATTTATTCAGTTTCTTTAGAGAGTGACTGTTTTTTCAAGTCAGTAAAAAAGAATTAGCGAAGTTCTACTGCACAACAGTCTGCAAGCTAAGGACCCAAACCCGCAATTTACAACATGCAGACTCACCAGTCTGTCTGCCTATTATAAATTGCAGATCAGAGCCCAAATGTAGGAGGGAAAAGAAAGAAAGGGGGGTAGGGGTGGGGCACGGAGGGGGCAGAGGAGGGAAACAAGGAGAAGAGAGAGAGAGTTTTAACATAGGAATACTTTAATTTGCAAAAAAGCACTAGGTATAAAATTGGAATGGGAAGACATTACAATGATCAAATATTTACAGACATTCAGGTCCTATAGTAACAGATAAGGAAGAAAAGGGAACAATAGCTATTAGCAATATTTCCTTATTGGAAGCTTTTGTTTTAAGAAACCCTTTGAAACATACCTCTCAACGAACTGAAGTCCCAAACATGGTACAGCAATACAATGCAGATAAATAAAGAAAATGCAAATGGAGTAAGATTAAATTGAAGTGGCGTTAGTTTCAGTAATTTTCTACCATTTACTTGAGATTCATCTGTCTGTTGCACATAACTTATGGGACTAAATACAAAAAACAGCAATAGAGCGATCCGTCCCACTCACCTGCAAACGCAGGTAACTGTTCTCTGACATAAAACTGATACTGAACTGCAGTTTAATTGAATAGTGTCTGCTTGGGATGCAATTATTCCGCTAAGGAGGAGTCTAGAATGGAAAATTTCTCTCCTAATGAGAGACAGTTGAGAGGTATGAGCAAGGGCAGAAAAAAGTGGAGAGTATTCCTTGTTTTTCTCCCACATGGGAAATACTCCTTTCACAAGCAAGTACAGCACTATTGCTTTTTTTGAGGCATAGAATTGTAATTATGCATATCCCCACACTGCACTTAGGAAGGCTGAGCTTACCTTGTGATAAGATCAGCTTTCTAATCTTTTGCTAAATTGAGATCACAAAAGAGAGAGAGAGAGAAGAGAGGAGAAAAGAGAAAGAAGGGGGGAGGGGAAGGAGAGAGAGAGAGAGAACAAATTCACATTCCAATCCAGACATATCTGGTTTAACAAAAAAAACCCAACAAAACAAAACAACAAACAAACAACAAACAAAAACCCAACAAAAAAATCAAGAACAAAACAAAACAAAAACCACAACAAAATAAAATAATATCTGAAACCAATAAAATACAGACTTTTTAAAAAGTCTTGACTGTGAATCTGGTTTTTGTCAGCTGTAATCTCACTTATACTGTTGTCCTGATGGATACTTATTCAATCACACAAGATGAAAAACATAAAGCAAATTAATCAAAGCATATTCACAGCATCCCCATTATCATCCACAAATGAGTTCCGAACAGATGCATGCAGTGTACACATACATGAATGATAAGCAGTTGTCCTGGCAGTCCCTTGTCTTCCTGGTGTCAGCTGCTGTACAACTCCATGTTAAGTCACTAACTGCAGTACAGGAAATGCTTACTGTGAAGGCCTGTCCACACTGACCAGTGTTATTACATGACCATAAAAGCTCATTTGTGCCTATCATCATAATGCTAACTGTGAACTACTCATAAAGTGCTCATATTTTTACTTTTATAATTCCTCCCCCTTCTTTGCTCCCTTCATATGGGAATTTGCTGCAGTGTAGAAACTAGTCTGGATATCTGTAACTGTTGTTTCCATGCATTTGTGCTTACTATTTCCTTGGTTTGCTGCTGAGAAAAACAGCAGCCAGGCATGCGGTGAAAATAACTTCAGCATTAATTGAATGAAGAGATAAGAATAAATTACCACATTGAAGAGGGGCCACTGAGCCCCAGATGGACAGAGGCCATTCTGAGAAAGACCAGTGTAAGGATGCAAACCCTGCTGATGCTCTGATAAGAAGAGATGCCTCCCTTATTTAATTCTCACTTACAGCAGTGGCAATCAGTAATCTAGTTAAAGTATGTACCAGCCCATAATATCTGTCAGGCAAACGATGTGCAGAAATGTGCGGACCAGTTCTGGCACTCTGCTCAGTAGTGTCCCTTTTCCGCTGTCAGCAGTACTGTTGGATTCTCCTAATATAATTACACTGACTTTTATTCAATTAAGTGCCATTCCTAGCCTTAAAAAAAAAAGCTACTTTATCAATTGATTCAGGTGTAATGCAATAATAAAGATGAACTCATGGCAGTGCATTAGCTCTGCTGTTCATAACTTCTGAACATAGGTTCATTCATAGCAGTCGATTTCCATTATGCAACCACAGTTCAAAAGAATTGATTTTTTCACATTCATTTCTTAATCTATTTCACTTGTGTTTAATACTCTCCCTAAATATCATATGCAAAAACATTCTGGTAGCGTTGAGAGGAAAGAATTGCGAGAAAAAAAAAGTTCATTTATTTGGACACTAAAGTTTTGAAATCTTATGTCAAAACTGAAGTTAGGGAGGCTAAAACCTTGTTAGAATCCAGAATACCATGCACTAAGGGTATTGGCAACACACATGTCCAGTAGCTGAATGATCCTTAGGATAGGAGGTAGAAAAGCATGTTTTCATAGAAACACCAGTCTAGAGTGCTTGGAGCCTGATTCTGCACCCCTTTGCTGTCTGTTACAGAACTAAAAGGCGCATTGCAGCTGCAGTTTCTACACTGTGGCACGTGCAGTTTCTTGCTTCAGCTGTTGTTCCCTGATGGTATCTACAATGCCACTAGCCCGTCATCCACTGAATACTACTCCCAGGTATGTGTAGACAGTGTTCCCTGAGTAAGCTGAGACATAGCTTGGGTAGAGTGATTTACACCAGAGCATGATCACTGCCGTCAAACAGGCAGAAAATCATGAAGCAAGACGCCAAACACAGCTGAGCTTCAGCTTGTCATGGCTCCACTATCCCTTGCACCTGAGCTAGCTAATTTAAGGCCATCCTTGGCATCCTTTGCACTACATTGCTGCTATATCTGCAGGGAACAAGCCTTACAGAACCAAAATGAATGGCAGAGGTATATGTAAGTATAGGAAACATAACATATTTGACCTAATGAAATATTTTAAAGACTCTGGACTTCTTAGACTGCATATTGGAACATTTACTACCAAAATGACATTTGATCCTGGCAATGGAAATCTTGTATAAAGATGACTGCTGAACAAAGTCTTCCAGGCAGAAGAGTTTAACCAAGGCATATCTCACTGAGCTCCAGTTACCAGATTTATTCCATCCTAGGAAAAAACTTAGGGGGTAAAATACTATGTGGGCCAAAGAATGTCCAAACATCTGTTTAGCTCTGTACTACGTATCATATACCATTAAAAATGAGACAAGTATTTTTCCACTATGTTTTGATATGTACTTTGCTGTGGCAAGGAACTTTTAGCAAAGCCTGGTGTATTTTAGGAGGCCCAGAATTCCTCATCTTTCCACATAATTAACATTCTTATTTCAAGTTACTATTCACGAATTAGACGCATGGCGTGCAGAAGTGTATGGAAACCCTCGTCAGAGTGAATTCAGCCTTCTGAATTCAGTGATCATAAAAATGGATCAGTGCTGCTGTTAAGGATGGTAACAATAATGATGACACATATTAAATCTGTGGTTGTGGTGAAGTGGGAAGGGTACTTCACCT